CCGAGAAAACAGACTTTGAAAATAGCCCTCGGCCGACCTCGAAAATCGGCGTCTTTCATTGATTTGGGGTCGATGGACAAAAATTCGCATGGCGGGTGGAAAAAAGAATTTAGAACAATTCTAACTGCAATTTTGTAGTGAGGATAGATAGTACTTTCGATGATAGGAATATAAAAGAAATCTATTTTTCGAGCCCAGTTCGAGTGGCACGCTGTTACAGAGACGCCCTCATAAAAGGTTTTCTCTTTATACATGCAAATATTTATCAGTTATGCATGAAGTGATAAACAGCTTTAACAAATTAGAGAAAGTGAACATGGCTTCAATATACTGGGGAGAAAAGTTAGTGAACTTTGTACTAACTCAAAACAGAATGTCTAAACGGTTTTTTAAAAGCGAAAAAATCAATAAATATGATTGAATATGAGTTAAGAAGTGATGAAATCTATTCACCAAATCGAATTTGAATTCCCACGGTCTACTGCCCATTTATACTGCAAAAACATCCCCAGTAATCCTACCTTTAGATGCTAGATCACCTGTGACGAAATTCTTCGTTATGATAACGCATAAAGGAATGCTGAGTTCCTACAAAGTAACTACATAGATCAGCTGTTCTCAGTTACCTCTCTGTCTATGGATCAAAGCTTCAGGTAACGTTATAAAGTAGAATTACGCAAAAAAAGACGGCTTATATTTCACTAACTAACAGACTTTCACTTCGCTTAACTCGTATTGATATTCAAGTGATAGTAACTTGTTGATGAACAGCATGCTGTTTATGGTGGTTGTATTTACAGACATTTCGTACTAAAAAAGCTAAACAGCGTTACTAACTCTCAATTAGCTTTTTCCATGTAAAGCTTTGGTGCTAAATTTTCTTGAGAAAGCTATCGCTACTAAGGTATTTTTGAAGTACTTTCTAGAACAATTCATTTGTCACTGTCTCACTCTTATTCTGCTTATATTAGCTCACTAAAGGTTAAAAAATCCAATGGATATTTATAAGGGGTTAATATTTCCTGAAGAATCTAAATTCTTGAAAAAGTTAACAAACATTTGTGTTAGAGGAACTTCCTAATTAATTCACATTTACCGATAATTGCAAAAGTAACCCAACCGAAAAGAATAAATCTTATTGAATTAGGCTAAGGTCACATTTGAACTGGAAAGACCCTAATAATAAAACTAACTTTCCTTCTTATTCTGATGAAAATACTTAGTGAAAACTCAGTAAAGACCCCTTTAAAATATGCTTTGTTTTATGGTTCGAATGTTAACTATGGTTCGAACAACGAAATCTTTCTTAACATCTTTTCGCTCGAATAATTTCGAACCTTATCTCTTGATATTTCAGTGTAAAACGAAGCACCAAAACCACGAAAGGTTGTTAAAATTCATCTATCTTCTCAAAGGGTTTCAAACTCTTTAACTAGGGATATCTAAGATCAGTTTCTTAATTTCTTTTTCTAATTCTGTCGAGGCACGCTCTCGTTAAGATACTTTAGCGATGTTTTATATTGTTCGAAGGTTCGCATGTTTTAAAAATTCATTTGAAATTGCTCCTTCATATATATTATTGAGCGTTGTATTCACTAAGTAATTACCCAACGCATTTTTTATAAATCTAAAAATGTGAATATCGTTTGTTATTGTATTTGGATACGTTAAGAGGAAAGTATTTGTTTTTTGAGGAGGTGTTCCATTGTCTACCCTTGCATTTGATTACCGCCAATGGGAAACGGGATTTCCTTAGAGTAAACGAATAGCTCACCGTCCATCTTTTATAAAATTCGTTCAATAAATTGAAAGCAGACTGATTGAATACTAAAGGATGTGAGGTGCCGTATTTTCAAAGGATTATTCAAATTTTTTACCTTACGGATTCCATTTAAGTTGTTTGTGTTTGATCGGCCAGTGAACCGCGCGATGAATGGGAATGGCGGTGAAATTCTGATTCGATGGTTTGAAAAGCATCTAAATTAATGACTCCATATCACTTAAAACTTTTCAAGACGCCGGGACGATTCAAAAATGATCAGTTTCGGCATCACATCTTTTTAAATTTCATTTTGAAATAATAATAAAACAACTAACTAACGACTTCACCGGATAACAGATTTGTAACAGAATCGGTACAAACTACAAAGAATTCTGACAATTGTTGAATTTTAAGAGCAGAAGAAAACTCTTGTCAAAAATAATCGATGCCTTACTTTCGCATGTTGGGCTGATTTCTAATCTAGGATTAGTTACATAATCCAAAATGCCTTACAAATCAGAACTTTTTTTCATAGTTTAAAGGTTTTTCATAGTTTGGGCACTTCAAGACATCATCGGCAACCGCGCTCATTGTTCCAAATTGACAAAAGTTCGCAGTACGCAAAGCTTGCGTTAGGAAATCTAATTTGGCTGCTGTTATCTTATAGCCAATTAGATTCTTGATGTATCTATGAGACTGATAGAAAACATTAGCTTCCGAAATAGGGGCTCTTACTTAATGCTGAATTTATTTGGGAATTGAATAAAACACAACGCTAATGAATAAACTGCAAGTACGGGAGAGGTGCGCACTTCGGGGATGGATTTCCTTTTTTGATGGATTTCCTTTTTTGATGGAGGTAAACAACGCATTATACTCTAGTATATATGTTTATTTTACTCGTCCTAAAATCCTAAGATTGTTACATTGTTAAGTAAGACCAGCATTTAAATCTAACTAGTTTGTGTAGCTTGAGATAACGAATTCACGTTCTAATTCAGCTTTGGGGAATCATTTAAGGTTCGCCTCTTAAGCATAAAACTTGGCCGGACAAAGACAAAACCATCGACAAAGAAACAATGCAGCTGAAAAGAACTTTACATTAATGTTTTTCTTCTATGTTATTTTTTGTTTCCAAAGTTCATAGAGGAACAGGTGGCCGTGAGTGAAGATCCAAACCCTGCGAACGTAAAAGAGCTGATGTCTTGATAAGTCAAAGCGTCAACTAATTTAGAAACTTCATTACGATCTACGCCCTACTTAACATATCGATGATATCACACAAAATGTTTAGCAATTATAATATCCAGGGATAAATGAAGATTTGTTTTTAAAGAATAGAAGGTAAGTGTCAATATTTTTAGCAATGAAAGTAATAAAGTAAGCTAATATTTGTGCGGAAATCGAATCACATTAAGAGTAAATCGAACGAGAGGGAAATATCTAGTAAGAAAATCTACTCAGTCGCAAGAAAATTGGAATTGAACGTACGATATATTTATATTATAAGCTTCGTGTTTAGTTGATCACTGCACATGCAAATAAATCAAGAATTCTTACCAGGTATGCCATCCATTACTTATCTGCGTTCTTTGTTTTCAAATATTTTTTCTATGACAGCAGAATTAAAAATTCATTCTTCAAAACAGAATATATTACTATCAATACCAACAGAATATTATCGATATATCTAATTAAAAAAACACAGACTTTATCATCTAAAGGGTGTTTTTATTCCGAGGCGCGCGTTAAAGTTTTACCATCTTGGTTTAAAATAAAGGTTTTTTGTGAGATAAATAATTGATGTGAACAGTGGGCATTCCGTGAGAATTTTCAGTTTTTTTACGACTATGTTATTTATTCCATTCAACGTTCAAAACCATGTCTAGCTCGTAATGAACTTTTCTTTCTCTAATCTGGACTATAAAATAGGAATGAGAGTAGCTTTTCCACTCTTAAATCAAAATGACAGTTCATGACCGGGTTTTAGATTCCCTGTTCTTTCGTTTTCAATTCAGGAAAAACTCGCCTCACCAATACATGAATTAGCTTATTCAATTTTTAATGAAAGAAATCGATTGTCGAATATTTTTTTCTGTTTATAACTCTGATCACTTGCACTGTTGAATATTACATTTTGCGTAAGGTTTTCCGACTGTTAATTCGATATTTTGTAATATTAATATAGATTAATACGAAATGTTTTGAATTTGATCAATGTTTTTCTCTCGAGCATCGGGTGCTGTGATGTTTCAGTTCTCTATGAAAACTATCGCATTTTTTTTACTATTTTTCTTTCGTAAATGCTTATAATGAGTTGACGACTTTCCGCAACCAACATGATTTCGTTCCTACCTTTAAGATAAAGATAAGATGAAGTACAATTTTGAAGCATCTCCGACCTAGCTTTACAGGTGGTTGACAATTTACAATAAAGGTGACACATTTAACACATAGTTGCTGCACGCTTCGTGACGAAGATAACGCGACACGACCGTATATAGAGCAGTTTTCACATGACTATGAAAAGCTCAATGCTGTAAGCGTGCCGTGCAGTGACCTTGATGCTTTTAAAAAAATTATTTTAATTGGCTGATTTTTTCCCCTCGCGCGATGTGATTGGCCTGACAGACCCTAACAGTGCCGTGACCTAAGCGTGACCGTGTCCTCGCAGTGCTTATGCCGTGTTACGGGTATTCGATTGGATGGAGAGTAAATTATCGCGCAATGTGATTGGTCTGGCGTATCCCTTGCCGTGCCACGACCGTGATCGTGCCTTGAGTTTTTCTCACTCATACGAAAACTGTTCTATAGGGCGCGTTGCATCACGGATCGGAGCTGCAACGATGTGCGCAGTTATCCAGCAAATTCGATTCATATTCATTTATTCCACTCAATCAGCATGCAATCCGTGTTGGTGATCATACCAACGAGAAATTTTTTTAAGTGTCAAGGTTTTTTTTTGTGGAGAAATTCTTTGTTTACTGTACGGCAACATGGCCGCTATGACGTCACGTGAAAATGTTAATTAACAATTATTTGCCGAAGGCGAATTGAATATCGGGGAATAATAACCGAAACGAAGTTAAGGTCATTATTCCCGATATTCACTGAGCCTGAGGTGAATAATTGTTTGAGTATAAATACACAGGTGATTCTTTCAAAAAAAGAAAAAAAAGAAGATAAAAGACATATTTAAAATTGGGAACAGCAACAAAGCGGCCGGCCGCCATTTTGGATTATCGCTGGAGGTGATCATCGTGTGATAATCTGAGTTTCTCGACCATCAGCGCGCGAGATTTTCAATAATCACCTGTGTATTTATACTAATAAATATTAAACTTTATTTATTATTAAACAATATTTTACTTTTACAATATTTTTTTATATTGCATTTTATTGAACAAAGCTTAGTGGCCACTTGAGCTATGTTTTCTAAAAAAAACTTGCATTACTAACCGGCCAGTTGATTTGAATGCCATATCCAGTCTATCACACGTAAATTTCCTGCTTTTAATATATTCACACAGACGATGAAGTGTTTTCGTGTCGTGTCGAGTCAGCCTAAGATTAATTTCACTTTACGAAAGGTATCTTGACGAGAAATTCAACACACACTGCGAGAATCGTTATCTTTATCTACAATCGCTATTCAATCCTCCTTTGAGTAAAGAATGTTGGGTGGAAGGCAAAGAAAGGTGCTTTCATGTTGAGTGCAGATTTATATATGCTTTATAGAAGTATCAATAAAAACTAAAGCAAATTGAAGAAATGCCGTTTTTCCAATTCGAAAACATTGAGGGTAATCTGAGTTCTGATTGGCTAACGAGAGTCCAAGAAAGTAATTTGAAGTTCCCAATGGAAACCGCAGCAGATGAGATATTTCACCGACAATCGACTGCAGCCTATCGTGTCGAGATTCGGGTGAATCGCTATCCAATCAATGAACAGGATCACAAGTTTGCGTTTTATCAAACATTACGTCCATCCTACGACTTAAAATTCTCATCAACCCTAGCAGTCTTCCTTTTCAAGCGAATGTCTGGATAATTTTTCGATAAAAATGAAATATATTTCAATGTGAAAAAGGAATGAGGTATTTTTTTGTGAACGTTACCGTAACATTTTGTTAATGTCTGGCCTTCCTTCCAGTGGGTTAATTGGCAACGAGAAGCTAAAGTAAGTACTAACATTAGATTTACATTCCCATAGGTACATGATTAGTATTTATTACCACAAGAATTCATTTCATATCCATCTTTTTCTTGTTGTCTTCATTTTAAAGAGCTACAAAATAATGTAATTTTAAAATAATAAAAGAAGTAGAGGTGATTGACGAGATGATTCCAAGACATTCTTTTTACTCTTGACCTATCATTCCTTCAGTCTTTCCTATCTTTCATTTTCTATTACTGTTTTTTTTTTTAAATAGTTTTTATTATTGATTGAAGTAGCGAATATCGAGACGTCTTTTAGCTACCAATACTCGAGATCCAGACTTAGTACTAATCTTTTTTGACTTCAGAAAGAGTATCACTTCCCCTGATTTCTTGACTGTGTGGGCATCTTCGATTTTCGGACACCTCTTCTTCCCTGCTTGCTCCTACTACATTGAAATACCTCAACTTCGCTTCGATACATCAGCCAAAATGATGACCATTTCATTCTATTCAATTATGTATTCAACTCTTCACAAACAACTTTATTTTATCATTGCCATAACATACGAGTATCAGTGAATTAGAAATTATTCAGTTCAAGAAGAAAATCTCTGTTTGATATCTTTATTTCCTTCTAATAAAAAATACCGCCGTCGCTTTCTTTGATATTTTACTTCGTATTTGCTCAACCGACCGTAGAAACCTTTATTTGTTTAGTATTTTACTTCATTCTATTTAGTAATCTGAAGAAGAGTTTCTGGCTACAACCGTCTTGTTTATTTATTGATGAATTTTGTCCTTTTTCACTCCGTATGATAATTAGAAACTCATCTTTTTTGAGTCAAAAATTACTGACTTCCATCCATCATTTTTCCATATGAGAAATCTTATCTTGTGTTGAGAGAAGTGCAAAATGTTTATATATATATTATGAGTATTAATTATAATTAAAGACGTGGTGGCCCGCTGAGAATCTATAGGAAACAGAAATAAAATGTTCTCTTGGTGAGAACTTCGTAGAAATAAATAAGGGTGATAAGAACAGGTTTAGAATGGGATTTTCTGACACCTAACAAGTAATAATAGCCATTCTCCTCTAATTCCTGATGAGAAAGGCGCTCAATTTGCAATTGTATAAGGAATGAGGGGGGAAATGCCTGTACAATCAGATTCTGTTTTTCTTCAAGTCATGGTTTCCATTTGTATGCAAGCCCTTCTAGCATAGGCCTTTCCACATCAGGTACTGTCTACTTTTTACTTGAGTTAGCGGGAATATCATTCTGCTCTTGTCTAGAAAAGAAGATGTTTCTTTATAATTTTATTAACTCGATAACCTGTGCTAAAATATTTAAGCGAACAGTTGTTTAAGATAAAGTTCCTGAACAAGTAAAAAAATGCTTTCGTATAAATAAAAAACTGTAAATCACGGACCAACATTTTAACATTGACAACAGCAGCGATGCCGACGACGGCTAAACGCGACAACCGACGGCAATAACCGGAACTCGTGCTTGAGAGAGCATTTGTAATAAAGTATTTATCAGTATGTCTGTGATAACCGGCATTTTGATTAAAGGCGACATTTTCATTATTAGCGCATGGGGG